AGCAAACCCTCCCACTTGCTTTCAGGTGCTGAGGTGACGGAGCAGAGTCAATTCTTCACTCTGAATAATGGCAGGTGAGGCCGAGGTTGCCAGCTTTCCATCACTGTTACACCATGTGGCTAAAAATCAACCATCCATATCCAAGACTAATGAAAGGAACTGACAATAGTCATATAAATAACGTAAAGATAGAAATTAATATAATTTGATGCTCACAAAAAACGTAAGGAGTGCCAGCTATCTGTCTATCCACAGACACAGAATGGCAAAAATAAGTTTCTTAACCACATTAATGCCCTTGCTAACACGCTTCAAGCCTCGTCTTTAGATGATGACTTCACAAGGTGGTTTGAGCCGAATTAATGTTTCCCTGTTGCTAAAAAACCAAGGGCTATGGTTCTTCCTCCCATCTCTGCCCCTTGTTCATGATCCAAACTCCTGTCACTTAATACAAGCCAGGCTTCATGCTTTTTTGATCATGCAGCGAGACAATTTAGTTTTATAAAATGGCTCAAAAGAAGTTTTTTGGGTTTTGCTGGGTTAGCAAGTTGAATTACAAGAACTCAAGAGCTAACACAAACAAGGTGTGGGGTACCGCACAGAGGAGATGGAACACTACCTGTCTGTCCTACTAGCAGCAAGATGCTAATTCGCATTACTTGAGACAGTGCTCAGAGATAACCAACTCAACTACCAAAGGCAAGTTGGTGTCTGTTATTTTAGTTTTTCTCTTAATGTTGCAGAAAGGTATTCCAATCACTGGCAGTTATGATACAGTCACAAATTTAAGAATTGGGATGAAATAGCTTGTTTGTTACACTTTGGCAAAGTCAGAGCTGAAAGAACGGTGGTGGGGGAGGTAATTTCTGAGAAGCATCAGATTTCAAATGTCATCTTAAATAGGTAGAAACTTTAAAAAAAAAGGGGAGAAAATAGGGGGCAAAAGAAAAAAGGGGGGAAGGCAAAAAGGCAAAAGGAAAAAAGGGGGGAAGGCAAAAGGAAAAAAGGGGGGAAGGCAAAAGGAAAAAAGGGGGGAAGGCAAAAGGAAAAAAGGGGGGAAGGCAAAAGGAAAAAAGGGGGGAAGGCAAAAGGAAAAAAGGGGGGAAGGCAAAAGGAAAAAAGGGGGGAAGGCAAAAGGAAAAAAGGGGGGAAGGCAAAAGGAAAAAAGGGGGGAAGGCAAAAGGAAAAAAGGGGGGAAGGCAAAAGGAAAAAAGGGGGGGAGAAAAAAAGGGGATGAAGGGGGGGAGGAAAAAGAAAAAAGGGGGGGGGAAGGGAAAACCACACCCAAAAGTAACTTCATTTTTTTCCCAGGGTGCTCTACAAGTTCTTGTTTATCTGAGCAAGCCACAAATGTAAGTCCCTGTATCTGCCTGCCAATTACAGCCCAGTTACTGCGAGTCCAGGTTCGCTATGAATCAGCGCTCACCATTAGCACGAGGCCTGCCCAAACACAGCTTTCTGCTCTTCTCACCTGGTGGAGAAAGAAACTATGCCTCACGCTGGAAGCTCCCCACCTCAGTCCAAAGTCCTGTTTTCCCTACTTCTGCCTAGCATCTTTTTTGAAAGCTTTACACCACTTTCAGCGATCCCATCCCGCTCCCATTGCTTCCCTGGTGGCCAGCAGCTCTGGAGAGTGGACGATGAGAGTCCTTTTCCGGGCCAAGATAAGGGCTGTGCTAGTCACAGCTGTGTTTAAATTCAGTACTAGTTTTACTATAGACAAAAACAGGGACTGCAAAGCCTCAAAATCACATCGGAAGAAATTTAAGTTGCTAAAAGTAGAAAGAGATCCATTAAACATGGACAGAGCCCCCTTTGGCAGAATAGCTGGCTGTTAAATTTAAGCGACTGCTTTTTAATATCAGCTCTGAGCTGATTGTTAACTGACACTGGGAAACAGAGTTTAAGAGCACAGGTATTTCAGGAGACCTACACATCACCCTTAATTTTCTTTTTTAAATAAGGTTTTAAAATTTGTAAGGAAAATAATCTCATTGGGAAGCTATATGAAGAAACCCTCACTGTTTTTAACCAGATGCTACGTGCAGCAGTGAATAATTCCTTTACAAAGTAACTGAAAACGTACCTGTTTTTTTTTTACAATTGGCATCTCATCAACTCAAAATCCTCATGGATTAACACTATGAAGTTCAGTTTCCACCCAACTACTCCTTTGGATTTCTTTGTAGCATCATAAATGATCACCGAAGACGCTGGGTTTGTGCAGGACTGCAGCACCTAACATCTCTTTGCCTTCATTCTCCTACCTGACCAGCTTGGCTTGTGCCACGAACGCTAGAGATTCACCAAATGTACAAGCCAAATCCTACCGAACTTTGAAATGCTGTAAAATAACTTCTGAACTGGTTATTAAGCACTGTTATCAATCTATGAAAATGCACACTTCCATGCTCCCAATTCAGACTAGAGCACAGGGCATCTAAGTGCAAATTCTCTATCCCTCCTCCCTCATCCCCATAAACCACCTCAGTGCAGCTGCTTCCCTGATCCCATCCAAACAACACCACAACAGGTAAATCGCAACATGGCAGAGTTTGATTAACCATTATTTTTCTAAATTAAACTGGCCAGCCATGGCAAAGTTTAAAAAAAATTTTTTAAAAAAGTTTTCAGGAAGTTACATTATCCAATTAGTTCCTCCTTCCTATGCATCTTATAACCATAATTAGTCACATTAAGAAGGTAAACAAAGTGCAGCAAATTGTACCATCTGAGAAGTTGACCTAGAATTTATTCTGCACAAAACATTATCCCCTGTATTTTTCAGAGAAAAAAAAAAACAATTCAACATTCCCTTTAGAGATAAAACTTCATTCAAAGCCAAATGCTCCAATTTATTTTCTTAATCACCCTTTACTACATGACGGTTAATAATTTTAAATCCCATAATACTGGCAACAAACTGACCATATAAATTGCCATCACAGTTTAAAAAGTACTTTTCCCTGGAAAAGAGGAGGGTGGTAAGACAAGTCTGCCTATTCATTATAAAAAAATTAAAGTGTGAGCATTAATGTAAGTAAAAAGCTGGTTGTCAACCATCTCTCAGCAGGGTTTCACATGAAACAGATGCTGTTCTTAGTTTTCTGCAGGTTATAATTTATATTACAGGTAAGTAATCACCAATGTGTGATAGCTGAGGTTTTGAAGGGCTGAAGCATAAAGGAAAAACCTACCAGCGTCCATCATTCTGCAGATAGATCCCTAAAAACTAATTGTTTCAGTTTCATGACACCTACTGCTAATTTCTGTTAGTTTAGGAGAAAAGAGAAGCTTCACATATGACAGTCATAAAACAGTACTGAAAAACCAGTAACTTCAAAAAAACCCAAACAAATCCTGCATATTAAGCAGCCATTTCTCTGTAATGTGTAGTCACAAATAATGGTGGTTTCAGTTTCATTTTTCTGTGAACGTCAGCCTTATGAATACTTCAGCGTGGAATTAGTACAGTCTTTATAATGTCTGATTCCTTTCTCAAAGGCGTAACAAGGAAGTGACTGAAAAGACTGGTACAAACTTCAAAGAGCAAAACAATGCATTTCACTGTTGAGACCAAACACGCCCCATATAAAAAAATCAAGACAGGAACTTCAAAGAAGGGAGGGAAAAAAAGCAGCTGAAAAACAGAGTAGGTGGGAAATTTCAGTTACAATTAGCCCCATTTCAGAGGCAGCCTACAGCAAGCTGTCCTTGAACCGGATCTCTTCCACGGCAGCCTCGCAGCTCCAGTGGGCAGCTGCGGCCACAGCCAATGCTTGCCCGCAGCAGGCAGAGAGGTGACAAGGGGCTCCTTCCCCAGTGTCCTCTCCTCACCTCCTGTGGGGTGCCTTCGCACCCCTGGGCTCCCGAATTCTGCCCCACTTGAGTCAGGCAGGATGGCTCCCTGCCAGAAACCGGGGGCTGAGCTGCCAGTGCTGCCCGCCTTGCATCCTGAGCAGGAGCCTTCAGCAGCGGCGCTGGTCCCTGCCCGGCCTGGGCTCATCCAACACTGCAAAACCAGGCACTTTCCTTTCCAAGGAAACCCACAGCACGCACAGTAGCTAGCAGGATGGAGAGTGCGAAACAGATAATTAGTTAATGTCTCCTTCACAACAATAATCTCTGCAAAGTGGCAGCTCCGGTTTTCTAAGGACTTTGCCTTTAAAGAAAACCAGATTGCTTGAACTACAATGGATGATGGGAACAATACCGTACTTGTCTGCCTCCAAAGTATCCCAGAAACCCTTGGAGCCCATCGGTTACAAGGATTACATATTTTCAGTCTCTGGCAGCAATTTGCAAACCCTTCTCATGTGACCAGCAACAAAAAAAAATGTTAACAAGAGCATTCACAAAAGTGGAGTTTCACAGTTACTCATGCAAGTAAAAATTCACACACAATATATCACAGTGAATATGGATTCATAAAAATGATCTGCTATGAAAAATTCACACAACTGCATTAAGTAACACACTGAGGAAATGCCAGTTGCAGTGTGAATAATTAATATGAATAGCAAGTGAATAGTTGGCAAGAGGTCTCGACTTGAAAATAATGTTTAAGCATGTAAAACCTTCTTGAATAATCAGCTAACTTATTTGTACGGTCACAGTCTGTTCACAGATAATTCACTACTAAAAAAAAAAAGAGCCATATTTATCAGATAAAACCACTTACTGAGAACAGCTCATGTCAATTTACTCTGTGAACTGTTCCTCATGTCAAGTTTTGTTGAGTTTTTGTTTTGCTTTTGGTGGTAAAAGATTTTATCAGAGTATGCCTTTGGAAATAATGTCAAAAGCATGATTGAAACCAGCAAGCTGTCTCTAGCCCTGGAGACAGGCCAGGTGTGGAACCTAATGGCTGAAAGAAGACGCAGAAACACATCCTCACTCTGTGAAGTGTCTACCCTACCTTTCAGACCTGTTCTGCAAAAATGCTTCAAATGCATGCATTCTGTGAGGGGTTGTTTTTTAAAAAATGTGACCTATCTTTGAGCTTTCCTCTTGAGAATTGTTTTCTCTTTGGGGCTACCTTTTCTAACAGAATTTACACAGGACATCTGTATTTTAGGTGTTAATCGTTATTAGAGATCCAAAATGAATACTATGCTGAGCATACTTACACCAGTAAGTCATGCTAACGTGAACATTTTATGGCTAATTGTATACCCTCAGGAAGTTGAAAGCAGTACATCTACTCAAGCTGCATATTCCTGCTTTTTGATATGTACATTTACTTAGGTACGTACCAACCATTAAATAAGAGCAAACAAATCCTATGAAGAGCAAAGAAAAATCTTGTTGGTACTCTGAGCAGGACTCTGTCTTAAACTCTGTTGATGGATGAAACTCTTCACCATTATCAGCTGTGCAGCTGGGATTGCAAGCCACCTGCTAATGGTATTAATGCCATTTTCTCTGTCTTGTACAGAATTAACAGCATTCAATGCTACTGTAATTTTGTTTCCTGTTCTTTTTTGTCATTAAGCTTATTCCATCATTAGCCACAGCCATCTCGGTGCAAAAACATGGCACAGAAATGTTTTTATTGCCAACCTGTGAGGGTGATATCATCATCTTCTATGATTTGCTCTTCTGCGACGTCCAGAGAGCTCTCAGTGATCATGTCACTGGGTTCGTCCACACAGGTTAAGCCAGAGTAGTTGTGTAGGAGGTCTGCGCTAGGAACATGCTCCACGATGACAGCAGGGAAAATAGATGGATCACCAAGCTGGGGGGTAGAAAAAAGAAAATTAAAATAACGGTAGTTAGACTACATCCAATCTAACCACTTACTGATTTCGTCAAGAGTCCTATACTACATCACTTGACTATTACACCGTCAGGAAGGAGTACCAAAGAACGAGATGATTTTTAGCACATAAAACCAAGTAGCAGCCGTGTCCCACTATGGGCCAGAGGCTGAGTATCACTGCAGTATCTAATATATTGACTTTAGTCCAGTAGGTAATACCAGACTCCCACGACACTATTTTGCAGCATAAAAGCTGACAATACAGAGGAAGGGCACAGCACAGTAAATGCTAAACTTCGCTGGCAATAATACTGGGCAAGCAACTTGCTGCAGGCACCTTAATCTTTTGCTCTTCCCATCAAGTTGGGGGCAGAGGAGTCCTGTAGCTGTCAGGACTGAATGAAGCTTTTACAGGCACCAAGTTTCCCACAAGACACTAGCTGAAGATCACTATTTTAAGGGACACTTGCTACAAGAGCAAGGGGTGTTACAGGGAGTGCTCGATATACATGCTGTAATATTTTCCCTCTCTAATTCTTATGGCTTTAGTCACTTGACATGACTCCCCCCCGCTTTCCTTCCTAAGTCGGCTTTCAGACACCATCCTTCTGACTCGATAGTTATTTTGCATCAGATACAAAAGAAAAGAGGCAGCTGGGAAAACAGAAATCAAGCTGACCGGTAATAATAATAAAATGCACACTCTCTGAAAAGGTAACCATTCAACAGGAAAAGGTTTTCAGAAAATACCATTTACTACAGACACAGTATTTTCCAAAGTGAGTCTTTTGAAATGTCATTTGCTGAAGAAGAAGAAAGCCATAGCTGATGATAGCAAAGCAGGCTCAGAGAAAGTCTAGTGTAACTCTTAAGGCTCTCTCACTGTAAAAATAAATCACATTATGAATGTGGCAAGCTTAAAAACAAGAAAACAAACCAAAAAGTTGCTAAAACATTGTTTCTGAGAAAACCAACATATGTACATTTTGTCTTACCCTCCACAGAAGAGCACAGATATACACAGATCAAGCAGGTTTTTTTATTTAACCACAGAAGAAAAAAAACCCAAAACAACCATATGATTATGAGCTTGCTTAGGGATTGCTCATGTCTCACAATCTTGCCACTACACACACCACCAACAACAGAAAATGGTATCAGAGCTATTGGCTCAACGCAGACAACAGCTATGGGAGTCAGCCTCTCCTAGGGAAGAGTCTGGAACATAAATACTGAAAGTAGAAAGTGCAATTAGAAGCTTTAAAAGGCAGTAATTACCACTTTAAATCGCTCTGTGTTTTGTAAAACATGTCTCAGCAACAACTGTGGTAAAGGGCAATCATGAAAAAAGGAAGAACTCAGAAACAAAAGTAGTATTTCTATGGGCTTCCATCATGGTCAGCCTGCTAAACAAAAAAAAAAACCCAACAAAACCAAATGCAAAACCCCCACAAATAACCTACCTACTCTACCAAACATAAGCTTCAAAATAGAGTAACACGGTACAAGATCAATAAAAATGAACAAAGGGCAGACCAGTTAAAGCCCTCTCATGCGATCACGTTGCCAGATGACTGGCCGTACATCAAGTCAAGCAATGGGTCAGCCTCTACCCTACACCTTTGTGGCCACCTCTTTCCAAGGCTGCATCTTGCTTGGGCTGAGAAACCAGGAACCACTGGTGGCCAAGAGGTCCCTGCTGTTCCTCAGAAAGCATCGTGTTCACATTGCACATCCTGTTTGTTTACTGACCCTAACATCCCAGATCCTATTTGCTTCCAGGCAAGAGTAAGCAAATAGATTTGATTACATAAAAGCCAGATCAGTAAAAAAGATACAGCACTGTAAAGAGAGAAGAAAAATAAAATACTGTGTGCATTAAAACAGTTTTTATTTTCAACAATATGTTCCAGAAACTAGAAGGAAGATGGTCTGTTGCAGCCTCATTACCAAGATAAAATTTATGCTACAAAAATAGTTTAAACACCCCAATTTCAGTAATATGCCACTGTATATAACTTTTGGGATGAAGTTACATATATTGTATGCCCATATATGTAACTACATAAAAAAAAAAAATTAAAAAGGATTACATACAACATTCAACTCGGGCTCCTGTCACCTGCAAGCTTTGCAAGTACCTGTTCAGTATTTTGCTGAGCAGGTAAAAACTATGGATTTTAGGTAGGGAAGATGCAAGTAAGACATTTCAGTCTTCTCATCCTGCTCTAACTCATAGACAGTAGGGGTGAAGTACATCTCACCTAACTTCACACAACTGTGGTGCAAACGCTTGGACTTGAGCTAGTAACCCCAGGTTTCCTTCAGAGCCAACAGAGAGAAATGGCCCAGTTTTAAGCTTCTGAGCTACGACAGGATGAATTGTGCCCTAAAAACGCCTATTCCTCTTTGTTGACTATAAAAGGGTGGAGGCGTTGGGGTGTCTATTTCTGATGTAGGTGTCTGTCTCCTACGTGCTCATCGGCAAACGACCAGCTGCCTCCCCACCACGTCTACGAAGCGAGGCACTCCTTCCTCCCTGCTTCCGCCGTTGCACCGGCTCGATAGCTGCAGTGTCTGTGGCAACATATCGAGTTGCCTGTGCTTAGGATAAGCCTCACCTTAGCTTCTTCTGGATAAAAAAATTACTCTGGCTCAGCACCGTCCTTCTCTAATGACTGACGCTCACATCACTGACTTGGCCTCTGAGAGGCAAAACCACCTCCATCCAGCACTGCTGTTATTCTTTAGTGGGGACAAGTCATAAAAAACTGCTTCAGAATAACAAACGAAACACAGATAAAACCAACCGACTGTCACAGGTCTTCAGCTCAACACCCTATTTATATTACACCCTACTTGTCACTCTGCCATGAAACCTAGTGACAAAAGCCCAAGAATCCATGGGTTACTGAAACACGCTTCACCGCTGACCGAAACGTTTCCCGTGGTACTGAATAGTGCTGCTGTCACGCATTTCAGCAGCAGCTGGTTTGATCCGTATGATCAGATGTAATCTGCTCTGCAAGGTTAAACTGTATTTTGACCATGTCTAGAAACAACCATCATACACATACTCCGACACGGTCACTGTGTCTGTCTACAGGCAGAGAAACCCCCATGGCAGGGGAATACCTCGTCACTTGATCTCACACTGGACCGTCTGAGGAGGCTGCTGACACACTACGCTTCCAAAAGACAAGAGATGAACAGAAAAGCATTCACTCATGGTGAGACACTTTAAATGTGGTTTTCTTTAAATTAATAACAGTTTTGAACTGGAAGAGTCAGAGTAAATATCACTTCTTGTGGCCTTTTACTTTAAAACCATTGTTACACCTGCTTCCAACTCATACCTTACGGAGGTGCAACGTATGCATTTTCTTTCCTGCCACAGTTGTGAAAAGGCTCGAACAAATATATAATATGCTTTCAGAGAGAAAAGCATTCACGTAACTGCAAACAAATCTAATTTGAAATTAATTTTGCGGAAACCATCATCACATTTTGTACAATAACTGCAATTGGTTATGATTTCATTAACAAGCATCTCATTCAGTTTTAAAAGTTACTACTAACGTATGCTGATGTTTATATGACTATTGAGAGGTAAAATCTCACCTCAGTACTTCTACAATGTTCCTGATTTCATTGAAAGCACCCGAATCCCAATTGAGAGCCAAGCTAAAGCTTCCTGTAGCTCTGTTGTTGTAAGACACAGGAATAACTTCGTACACATTTAGAACTGCAGAAGAGCCTGTGTTTACTATGGCTCCCTTTGATGCTAGTGCGTAATGAGAATTACACACAGGGAAAACATTAAATTAAGGACTAGAAGGTAGTGATTCAATTAAGACAAATTAAATTACCTCTCTAATAGCAAGATCACAAAATAATTTATTTCTAATACAAAGGTGGTTCTACATGCACTAAAAAAAAGGAAGAGTGCAAAGTATCCCAAAATTAAAACAAACAGTCCCAAATTAAAGTGTCAGCAATGATTTTCAAGAAATCAATACATAAATCCATAGAAGAACAATTTACGGATTTTTCCTTTTTGCCTACTTCTGCAGCTTCATCTTTCTTATGCTAAATATAGTTAAAATATGACACCCTACTTCTGCCAAAGCTTTGGCTTGGCTTCAACACATCTCCCATGTCTGCTGGACACATAAAGGAGTTGAGCTACTGCTGAAATCTTCCCAAGTCTTAGACACCAAATTCCTCACCATAGTTTATCTACAAACCAGTCCTGTAGACCGACCTTTAACATTTTGGAGGAGTGCAAAGCTTCAGACAGATGCTGAAGTCCATGGAAGGTCCCATGAGCCAGTCCCTTAAAGCATCGGTCATGCTCCGTGATCCCCTGAAAACTGAACCCTGCTCTCCTCTGGGGGCCAAAGGCAGCAATCTTCCTTCCTGCTCTCAAATCCTTGGGTGTTTGACATGCTGACAAGGTGTTTCTTTTTTTCTCTGAGAATTTTCTCATCAGCTGTCACCAACTGACAGAAGATCAAAACACTATCCTGGTTGTGGAAATGGAAAATAAGGAAGGGGATTTCTTCTGCTCTGGAGGTACTGTCTTCTCATACTACAGGTCCTCTAAGGAAGAAAACTTGTCCCAGGAATATGGTGACTAGCTTCTAACTGGTGTGGAATAAATTTTGTGCAAGTGAGTGATGGGTGGGAAGAAAGGCATGCAATAGATACGAGCACAGAAAAGCTACAGGGGGGTGGGGGTGGGGGGAGAGGAAGAAACCTCTGTGAAAAAAAAGTGGCTTTTTAACAGAGCAACAGAATTCAGACTTGCAATACAGCTGGCCATTTATTTTGGAAAAAAAAAAAACTAAACAAAACTAGGCAAAGGGACCTTGGTGACTAGAAAATGGGCTTTGGTTTTCTCTTGCTGAAGGTTCCTGTGCCAAGAGCAGAGGCAGGCTCTTGACTTTAAAGGTGTTCCCGTGGCTAGCATCTGAGAAATTACCAAGTTTCACAGAGGGATGCTGGAAGCAGATAAATGCCGCTTGCTTTCCTGGGGAGACAACCTTATTACTGATCTCACAATCATTTCCTTAAAGTCTTCATAAAACTGTAACTGGATAAGGAGAGGACCTTCTGCAGGAGATGGAAATAGTAAAAAAATGTGCACCTTGGTCTTGACCAGGTGACTTAATGTTTCAGAAGGCCCATGGCAACACCAGGGAACATGAAAGAGCAAACCAAGGCATGAGAAGACGGTGCAGAAGTCACGGCCCAACCTAAGGGCTTGGACCCCTCTTCCTCAGAAGAAGGGAAGAGAGAAACATCCTTCAGAGATACAGAAGGTGTCTTCAGGCACAGGTTACTACACGTGTCAGAGCCACTTGAGAGAGCACCTGTTGGCACAGAGCAGTCATGCTGGGGACCATGCTAGCAATTTAATGGTTGCAATGATTCAGCGTGTCCCTGGCACCATTTAAAACTTCCTAGTATGGTTTCAGCCTCTGGCTGCTTTTATTCAGGTTTTTAAATTAAGAATGTCCTGATCAAGTATCACGCTGTAAGTTAACAAAAGGACTAAATGAAAAGACATTGAGAGGAGAAGCTGCAGACATGAAAAAAAGCAGTTTTAGGCAGCAGCACTGACTCAGCCAAAGCCTGCAGGGGCTCATGCCCAGTTTTACGTGTGTAGTCTCTCTCTCTCAAAAAAAAAAAAAGAAAAGAGGGAAAAAAAAAAAAAGCACAAACCCTCTATTTAACCAGGATCTCTGACACGTAGCAGCAGCCAGACAGGTTAGCAGTAGCATTAGTGCAAGCCACTTGTTCCCTTCTCAAAATTACGAGGATATTTTAATCTCATTTCTTCCTCACCATACGTGCACAATGCAATAAATGAACCCTCCAAGAAAAAAAAAAAAAATCATTATTTTCTAAACTGAAAAGGATAAAGCTGATAAGAGAGCGCCTTTCCCGTTCACACGGGGCCATGTGATCGAGTCCCTCCCATTGACATCTGTCACTGGCTAAATGCTTACATTTGCAAATGGACTGTTCATAATTTACGGTTGTTTAACCAAGACTTAAAAAAAAAATAAATTTTGAAAAAGAGCCATGAATTATGACTTCCGTGAAATACTGAGTGTAGCTGCCATCTAGACCCCAAACCTCTCCCTGCAGCTGTTCCATCTCCTGACAGCTCTTGGCACAACAGGGCTCCAGGCAAAGTTTTGACAGGAAAAAAAGTACCAAAGTTCTTGCAATGCCAGCTTTTGGGGGCATCGCGAAAAAAATTACCCAAAGATGAGTTAAATGACACCTGTGTATAAATATGTCACCTTTTGCATACTGATGAAGCTCAAAAAATGCTTTTGACCAACACAGAGCACTTCCAGAGCTAAAATTTTTGCAAAGTACACAAATCATGTTATCCATCCCTGAATAAAACTAATCTGTCCGGAGTTTAAAAACTTCAGGAGCAGCAATAGCTCCTATGTTGTAAGAAGCAGATCAACCAGGTATAAGCAATAAGCAATCTTTCTGGGTTAACGTTGTACTATAAATCCTTGTCTGAGCTAAATCTTGCTCCAGCTTCCCAGATCTTTCCTTATGCAGGACTCCTTTTCTACAACCAAGTATTTAATATCTACCTTCGTGCAGCCAGCTAGCTGGCTACCTGCATCTTTGATATCCAAACTAAGGTAACCCAGTGATTTAAGAGGAGCTTGCATCCGACTGTTTGCAGCGATGGACTTTCTGCTATGCACTCTCTCTCTTTGGCCTTTCACATCTTTGATTTGATCACCTTTAGGGTACGCTACAGGACACCTTCTTTCCTCAGGCTTCATCTGGAGTAGGATTTATTAGGGTTATGAGATAAATGCCAAGGTTGAGTTTGTTCTGGAGCTGGAGAAAGCTCTGTTTAGGGAGGTTTTACTGCCCTGTTGAGTGCTCTTTAGTATTTTTAAAGTTTTTCAGGTGAGCATCTGAAGAAATTGCAAGAGGCAGAATGCATAGCTAGACTGAACAAACCACGTTTGCTTGCACTACCCCTTCCAGAAACCACACTGAAGCAGCCCCCTCATCTCAATTCTCCCCTCTGCCATTGGCTTGTAAAGTAAAGCCAGCAACGAACAACAAACAGAGGTAATAAATAAGGCTCGTTTTCGACTATGTTTGTGCAATTCCCATATCTAAATCCCCAGGCTACCACAAGCTCTGGAAAAATACAGGGAAGGAAGTTACATTACTAGTTCCACCCAAAACTGAGTTAGCACTTTAGACAGACAACACTCAGTTCATTGAAATGATCGTATGACTCTGACAGCAGAAACAGGCCACTGACCCAGCCAGATACTAGGCCATATAAAAAACCGAGAGACAAGATTATAAAGCCAAAAGTATTTTTGAAAGAGAGGAGGATAAATGCTTTTCACATTCACAAAAAGAGAAACAGTTTGTCGTGGCACTTCTCAGCCTTTTAAGAACTGTCTCTCCACAGTACCCAGACACCTAATTCATTGCTAATAAATGCAAAACCCTACTATTAACCACCACCTATAGAGGAGCTACCTGATTTTTACAATAGGAATCCTTCACTGAAGCCTCAGGACTCACAGGATGTGGTTTAGGTAATCAACACCTAACTGAGAGCTGCCTCAGACAGAAACAGACATATTTTCCCCTGCAGTGTGAAAGAAACCGATTTAAATTACTTTGAAGCGTATTTCTGAATAGCCGGCATACAGTAACACAATTTAGAAACCAATCTGTAAAAAGCAGTGAGCAGGTACCTACTGCTCCTTCTAGTCATCTGTAGTGTGACCATTACTGTTATTCAGAATTTTATCCTAGCACACTAGGAAAAATAAAACTACTGTCAAATACCAGAATTTGGGGAATTCTGCATCACAAATGGATGGATTCTACTAGCACAAATCAGCGACACAGGAAAAACATTTTCAGAGGAGGAGGTCTCTGCAATACTGCAGAAGTTATAACATTTCAACCAATTTCTGTTCCGCCCATGCAAGTTACAGGAAGCAACAGAAAGCTTTTGAAACAGCACAAAGATCTGCTGCAACAATAATGACCTCAGTGTTTGCTTTTTTCTGTTTTGCACCAGTTTTTCCTCACGTTTTCATAATGTTCCGAGCACCAACTTGTACGAATATGCTTTCTTACACTGTCGCATTACCTGCTGCTCATCCTCCATGACGTTGCTGGCAAATTCAAACACAAGCTCATTCTGCTGTACAACTGCTGCCATAATAACGCATTCCCAGGTCTCAGCTCCACATACAAAGAAAAATGTTCTCAAATGTGAAAGAATGGAGAGCGTCACCAAGATGCAGCTAGGCAGAAAGGCAGGATCACGAAATGAATCAAGTATCAGTGTTCGTATTTCTTAGATCATCGGTGTTCCTGGGTTCTTCTCTTCTCGAAGGGAAACAAACCAAGGGAAATCCTTTCCTGAGTTGTTCTTCCCACCTTGATAGCCTTTGTCACTGTGGAGGGAAAAAATAAAATTATAATTAAGAAATAATTGCTTTAGCTATGTGAAATAGTAGCAGTCACAATAAAGCTTGCTCCAAACTATAACTGTTCTATCTAACTCCAAGGAAGTCAGACACCTTTGTATCTATCTTCAGAGGTATTACTTCTACTGATTAATACGTGCGAATCTTCATTCCCTTAAAAATAAAACTGTTTCAGGAAGTAAGACATCAGTTTCAAAGTGTTTCATATTAAAAGCATGAGACTAAGAAAAAGTTACAGAAGTTAACAAAAAGAAAGTCCATCTTTTCATTTGATTCATATATATGCAGTTTTCACATTCATTAGTAACTCTTGTCTTTAAGGCATATTCAAAGTAAAAATACAAAACCCAGACTGACCTACTCAGCTGCAGGATATCTCAAGTATATCACCTTTCTTCTTCACACACAGTTCAAATTTAGCAAAGCTGTTATTTTGCAAGTAAAATGCTCTAGATCTTGATTCCCACAGTGTCAAACGGATGAAACCAGTAAATAAATTCTATGTACAATCCAGAGAGTCCCTGAGTTCCTACACGAAGCAGATCTTCAGCTTCTTGTTAAAAATGCACTGTAAACGTATCCTTATCTCTACCACAGGCTCACAAGCAGCCGGAAGGAAACAGCGCTGACCACGTCATGGCAAATTAGCACAGGCAAAAAAACTGCACAGTACAATAGCAAAGAAAAAAAAAATCCCAAACTACAGAATGTAAACAGCTTCACTGGAGGGATGCGTGCCTACAGCTCCCAAGTTTTCATTTACTCGTCAGCGCCAAAGTTATGGTTAACATGAGCTTACAAAGAGGTGTGCTGTATCACTTCCAGGGAAAAAGGAAAGCACAAAACATAATCTTTCTATACAACTAACGTGATCAATACATTAATTAAAAAAAAAAAAAATCTATCGTTTCAAAAGAGTAACAGAAACAGGTGTCTAAAATTAGGAACCTAAGGGGGTATGTTGGTGCCTAGGAATTTAAATCCATATGTTTTTAGGGAAGCAAAATGTGTGGTATCTAGCATTTTGATCAAAATTCTTTAAACTGCCTTTGATTAAGGGCTGCTGTGACAGAAGAATAAGGGGCAGAGGTCTAACACGTACCCATCCAGACTCAGACCTCCAGGAAAGCCTCTGGGCAACTTCAGTGCCATTAGCGAGGATTAACATCTGCCTTTGTACAGGAGGTTTAACTTCGCCTTGTTTTTGCAGTAGGCTGAAACTCAAAAAAATGAAGGGCATCTTCCTCTCCCCAATGCCAAGCAATTTAATTAGGGAGGATCATGTCACAGGCTCATACTCCCTCACTCTAGGAAATGTAACAGCTGTTTTTCCCATATAGATTGTGGTATTCCCGAATTCCTAAGTAGTGATGGCAGGGCATTCAAGCATTTAAGTCACTAGATCCTACCCTTCTAAGAAACCAGGAAACCCAAGATTATGCAAACAGGAGAACCTCCCCAACTTCCAAAGCGTGCTTTAATTAGCTGTCAAAGGGTTCATAAGAGTAGCCACAACCCTAACTAGAGAACATTTGCATTAATGAGAGCTACGTGCATGAGCAGAGAAGGATGTACTTTGGGAACCATGACTGTTCAACCTCAGCCCCTGCCATTTTGCAGGAAGACTTGAAGAGTTAACAAGGCTTTCTCCGTACTTCAGCAGGGCTATGGTACTGAAAGCATTACATGCAACCGTATACTCCTGGGTAACTTCCCTAAATGTAATTATTTGGCTTTGCCTTTTAGAAGATAAAAATGCCATTAAGAAGTTACACACACATGCCAGCACAGTGTGACTAAGACCAACTTGTCCCATCCCAGATTCCTACCATCCTGTATGCCAGCCTGAAAATAAAGTACATAGCCATATAATATATAGTTTAATATTTCCTACAGACAGTGATTGAAGTGGGTCCATCTATGTCAATAGGGACATACCAGCTCTTTCAGAAGAGAGGACAGGTATGGAAATTTATTTAAGTACAACTTCTATTTTGGTTACTGCCTAGAAATAAATTGTAACTCTCCAATAAGATGAAATAATAATATTTTAAGTCACTCCCTCTAATCAGTGAAGAGTAACTTCACTCCAAAGGATCACTGGGCAAATATGAGAACCTCCTCAGCTTCCAAATGAAGACTTATTTTAAAACAGGGGTTAAGCTAATTGTCCAGGGAGAACCAGAGCCGGAATACAACTAGGGCTTATAATCATCTCCGTTACACTAATTGAAGCCACATGTATGAACAAAGAGTACCAGTTCTTGAGGTCCAGTAACTTTCTGAGGTCAGTAACTATTAACAGCACCAATGTAAAATCAGGATAAATGAAGTGTTGGAGATGGGCTACCTAGTAAGCTCATGAAGTATAAGGAAAACTGGAAGTACAGCCACCATAAGACAGATTTTAAAAGTTCCCTGCGTGCTTTGAGAACTGGCATATTCTTCTGTTAGTGCCAGGTCATTCATTATTCTGTAAAATATTAATATTTTACAGTAGATACTACAATACCAAGATGCACACTAAATGCATAAGATCCAAAAGCTGTGGCAGCAAACCTACTAAAAGCCATAAAGAAATCTTTTCTTACTTTTTATTTACAAAAAAACCCAGCAAAACCCTCAATGAAAAACTAATAATCATGATTTAATATAATTTAGGAGACTGCAGCAGCATAACGCATTTGTTCCCAAAAGGATCCACACAAACACTACTTAGAACAGTCACACTTTATGGTAACATGAAGATCCTAATCATCTGATACCGTTGCAGGAACAGACATTCAAAAGCTGTTTTACGAATTTTGCACCACGGTGATGCAGTGATGTAAGACTACATCGCAGACTGTTCCTTCCCCCCTACGCCCCGCTCCCCAAAACCACCAAGGAATCTATAAATAAAGTCAAATGAGACCTTCTTCTCACAAGAAAAGGAACATCTAACCACAACATTACGACCAAAGTCAAAGACAAGTGAGTAAACAGGCTTTAGTGAGCTTTTATATCTAACCTTATAAAGGTTAGGCACTCAAACTATTATAATTTACAGGAGATTTTTCATTACTTCTTTAGCAGTACACAGTAATAGCAAATGATCTATTGGGCAATAACAGCATGGCAAAATAATGCAAAAGTGCTTTCCTTTAACCCATATCACTTTCTCTGACATATAGAAAACAAGAGCAGCTTTTCACAGAAGCCAGCACAATTCTAAACCAGCTATATTTTCCTCCACATCTATTTTTAAAAACTGTGCTTTCATTATTCTGAGTATCACAGGATCCTGCTGTCTATAGGCTAACACAAACATGACTATTGTTTTTGCTATATAATGCCACTCATCTCCCTGCCTGATTTTACGTACATCTGTGAGTAGAAAATAAGTTATTTGCAAACAGCATAAAATGCATAAATTGTATTCACATGCACAATAAGCTTGACTACATACGAATAGTCCTAAGAGAAAGGGAACCCAGTATATATTACCATGAAATTTACATAAAATTTTCAGAACTACAGAGTAAGTAAGGTTTTGCTTTCATTTTAACTAATTGTTGTAGAAACATATTATAAAAAGCAATATTAAGACACAGCTATATAAACAAATATCTTAATTTTGCTTAATCCTTGAAACTGAACGTAAAAATAAATTATTTCAATCCTTCTGGAAATTCCCCTCCTCTACTGATTTGAACACCTAGAAACAACCTCCTCAATCAGTCTGTCAAAAAGCACGTTCAGCCAATTTAACCCTTAGTACACTGCTACTCTGGTATCCCAGAAGATAGGTTGTAGGACTCCTTCCAGCTAGACATCACAACTTTTTTCCCTACCACTCTTCACCATACATACCCCGCGTACTTAATCCTAGCCCTATTTAGGCAGTTCAACAAAGCTCGTAAGAAATACCTCCAGAACCAACGTTTTTGGTCCCAACAGTGAAGTTGCAGTACTGCAACTAGGGTCCAACTTGGAAGTAACAAATCCACAATTTTTCCTTCAACTCCTGACAGTATGAGCCAGTATAGCCCGAACTGCCTTAGCGTTCAAGCAGTGTAATGCAGAACACTGAAATAACATAGCGGCACCACGCCACAGCAGGTGTAGCAGGCATCAAAGTGCCAGGCACAAACCTAAAAATTTGCTGAAGAAGCTCAGCTATAAACTTGGAAGGCTCAAGTCTTGGTACTGAGAACACCCCAGCTGAGCTGAAAGATGCCTCCAGCAAGCTACTGGATCCGGTCTCATTTAAGGTTACTGAAGATGACTGTAATCATCCTGCACTGCCTTTTTTGTGAAATTAGTAAGATCATTCATACATTTAAAATTAAGAACCAGCTTAGCTGCTTTAAGATTCAAATGCAGATCTGAATCCCGAGTTACTGCTGAAACAGCTCAACTCATTTAGCACAGGGACAAATGACTTGCAACTGAAATTTCCCATTGATTTTCTAAGACAGTCTGCAGCATTAGCTCTAGCCTAGAAGCATCCAAGTTGTGACTTAACAGAAATGCAAAGCCGAACCCCCTTCTCAACACCATCTTGGATGCGGGAGGAAGAGGGGAGTGAATGAGAGGAAAGGGAAGAATAAAGACATCACCTGGAAATTTTGGACTGAAGGACTGAAAACCATCCCAGGTGAGGTCAAACACATGGATGGTAACTGCACCATTTCACTCAAGTTTCTAACTCCTTTCTACCAGTGGAGGTTAAGGATGGATCAAGCCACAGCCAGTCCACCCTCTGCAGAGGTGCATCTTTTTAAGATACTGTACAAGTAATACATTGTAGGGTCTGGTTTTCTTAAAAAGAGGGGAAAAGCTGAATGATACGCATTTCTCGTAATGCAGAAATCCCAAACCCGTGATGATCTTCATGTATGGTCCACACTAAGCATAAATGCTAACAATATAGTCTACTGTGGCGTTCTTCACGGATTGATTATTCCTATTCAGTAATATTAAGAAATTGCAGAGAACAGGGGCTTTGAACCACGTCCTTAGAGCCGGCGCATCTGTAGTCAGCAAAACAACAAGCAGTAAGCACAAGTTAATATATGTTACTTGGCACAAGAAGTTTCTGAAGGCTCAGTATTTCAACTGCTTACACAAATTAAAGGAGATAGGAAAACAACATGGTAAGGGGGTATCACCAGGGAAGGAAAGAAACAACATAAGGAACAGCCTGAAATCTTCTGAAAGCATCCATGCTGCCTCGGGGAAACTGTGCAAAAAGCAGCTGACATAATAAAAGTCAAGAGAGTGACCTTTGCTGAGCTTTCGTTAAGGACAAAGAAATCATCGGTATCAATAAATCCCTGTTTTGTAGCCAGGCTAGAAACCAGCCTATGTCACCACGGGCTCTCACTACATATACAGCAAGGAAGACAGAGAGCAGGAGGGTTCATCTGTTAAATATAAACAAGCATTAAAAAAAAAAAAAAAAAAAAAGGAATTGGCACACAATTCAGTCAATACAAAATAAGTTAAATGAACCCCCCCCTCCCCCAAATCTCACATAAAAGCACGTTTACTCCAAAGAGAGCAAAAGCACCAATGCA